ATTTAGAGGTAAACCCCGTATTCCCCAGGCAGCTTCCAGCACATCGTTTGTGCCTGTCTCATGTAGTGCTCTTCTCAATTGTGCAATTGCTTGAGCATTTCACTGGTCTTGTGCGTATACAGGGACTGTAACCAAAAATTTACATCGTTGGGAGTCCTAACACTTATTACAATGATAAGTATAGGCGTGGATACACTTTGACTCTTAATGTTGTTTTAAAGTCTTTATGTATTGGAGCCTGAGAGTCTTTTGAGCCCTTTGAAATACTATGTATAAATGTATTGTGTTTTAACTTATTGTTTATTTAATTGCTTTATTGTAAATTAGCTTTATAATCACAAGTTCAGTAAAGCATGATAGATATATCAAACGTGTGAGTGTTTTATTATAGAAAGGTATAAAAAAATACCCCATTCTAGCTGAGCTGTCAGATACAGGCTGAGCTAGGGGAGGTACTGTATCAGGTACTGTTCCAGGAAATCAGACTGAGAAAACCTGAACACAGTTCCAAGTGTAAGCACTCACCAGGCTGATTAAAGGCCCCAGCTGGGCTGCAGTTGCACACACAACCCACTCTGCTGCCTCACACAGCCTTCACAGATGCAAGTGACCTAGTCTTTAACCCAATGAAATAATCTGGAAGCCTGTAACTCCTCAGCGCTGCAATCCCAGAATAGTACCAGTCTTTCTGGCATTTAACCCATCTGACCGTCATGTGGGGTCAGTGTGTGCACACTGTGACCATCAAAACATTAATTCTCCATGTCCAAAACCTAAGATCTGTGGATAGATCACAGAGGACAGCAATGCTACCCAACAGGCAAAACAGTGGGGTTTGGCTCCACCCAAGCTTTCAACCCCACCTCTGGCCATTCAAATCTCCTTAGTTTTCCCCATCAGCAAAACAAGTGTAGTATTTCCTTGTGTGACCCAGAGAAGAAGGGATCCAGGGAAGCCTGACAGCACCATGTATTACTCTGCAGCTTTTGGGAAGTTATGAGTAATCCACAAAGGAGTATAACTGGCCACGTGTGGGGAGCATTTGCAACACTCAACAGGCTGATACTGATGCTTACAGAGGTAACTTGCACACCTTTCATGTCCCTGTGGTGCCTGAGTGATGAATTATTTTGTGTTTGCCATAGAGATTTTAGAGGTTTCATTAAGCATTACATTATGGAAGAGAACTCTTAACAGATCAGTTGAAGTAATAAAATCCTGATCTAACAGAGATGGACATGAGAGCATCTTGCTTACATTGCCATAACTTTTTCTTCCATGCTCTTCACCTTCTTGGGTGCCTGCAGCCATCTGGCTTGCCTTGTGACACTGCTGCACTGTGTATTACTCAAATGTCACTTTCAAAAGCTTTTACATCATAGGGAAACTAGGGCCAAAATTACCAGTTGGAGATATTAATATAAATTTTACACAACCTAGATTTTTATAATTGCTGAATATCTCTTCTTGGGACTGAAATGCATTATAGAAAAATTTATTCCTACATCAAAATACATCCATGCAGGGCCAGAACAGCAGTACTGATGTTACCAACTTCATTACCATGTTGGACTTTTCTTTCACAGCCATTATTGAAGTGATCTTTGAGTGACAGTGAATTGCACAATAATTTAGAAGAAAAATTATTTTCAGTTCTAGATGTATTCACTGTTGACTTTGTGGGGGGTTTTTGCAGCAAGAGGCAACAAAGCCCAAAAAACTATACTTAAGTTTTAAGATGCCATAGGCCGATTTCATAACCAGAACAATGTCAAAGTTTCTTGCTGCCCTTAAGATTCTTCACCAGTTCAGCTTTCATGACATTTAACTCCTATGCTCAGAGAGAAGTGACAGCATCCTGATCACATTCCTGATAAAGCCTTGGCTCTGATCTCTATCTAAAATTCAGTTCACTTCTAAGCCTCCACCTTTCCTCCTCTCCACTGCAAGGACATAAGACAGCTCAAGGTGCTCTTTGTTAGAACACACCTGAATTACTATAATGCACAAGTCCCAGACTTTGGTCTTTGTTCCATGATCTGCAGAGAATAAGCCAGTTGTTGCTCCAAACGTATCAACTCCGCTTTTTTCCTTCTAATATTACACTTAAGTCTTAGTTATGTCTCACCTGAATCTCACAGCCTCCAAACAGTTCAAAAGAAACTCCCATCCTTTTTTTGTGAGTTTAGAAAATGCTCATACCCACACCTGTACCCCACTGGAAAGTCACATCTCCAACATGCAGGTGAGGAGGACATGCAGCTCACACACCGTGGGTAAAACCCTAAACACCTGAATTCATGCTCACAGCACAAGAACAAAATCAGCTTCTCCCTGGGCTGAAGGGATGCATGTTCATATTCCACTATACATTTTATTTCTAATCCAGGGACAAAAAAAAGCCTGTCTTTCATATTCAACTTTGAGGTACCCAACATGCTCTCCTGCTGAAAATGTTGAGACTCAGACATTTGACCCCTTCCCACCAGAGATCCATCTCTATCCTTCACAGAATGTGTCAGGTTGGAAGCTGATCATCTGGTCCAACCTCCCTTCTCAAGCAGGGAGCACATGGCACAGGATAGCATCCAGGCACTTCTTGAGTATATTTAGTGGGGGACACTACAGCCTTTCTGGGCAATCTGTTCCAGTAAGAAGTTCTTCATCATGTTGAGGTAGAACTTGCTGTGCATCAGTTTCTGCCTGTTGACTCTTTTCACCCTTCCTTATGTCCTTTTCACAAGGTTGTTCCCAACTCGTAATTACTCATTTCTTGTTCCTTTCCCTGCAAATCAACTCCCTCTTAATCCCAAACTCCTGAAACACATTTAGCACTGTTTTATATATGCCCTATATAAGAAGTGAGTATTTTGCTCCAAATCCCCTCAGACTGATCAATACAGGACCTGGCAAGCATTAACAACTACAGCACAATCAAGGAAAGGATTTTTCAGTCATCCTGGTAGGTCAATCCTCCACAGATCAAGAATATCAGTGAAAGCAAACAAATCCAGTTTTCAGCCAAGAAAGAAAAAAAAAATAAATCACATGGCCAACAGCTAAAATATGAATGAGAAAAAGAGGAGCATATGGCAGCAGAAAGGAAAGACAAGAAATACACACAGGGGTGTACAGGATCTTCAAGAAACTCAAACCAATGAAAAAGATAGTATCAGAGCAGCAGCCTCAGTAAGTTTAGCAAAAGTGTTTTCATATTTATCAAGGATAAAGAATCAAGATATAGGAAAAAGATTAAACTGATACTCATGCATGGTCATCACCATTCAAGAGACTTCCCCCAAGAGCAGTGTCCTCCCTACTGGCACCATGTCAACAGGGCAGAGACGGGAGGAATCTCTAGAGCAGCTGTGCTCAAGTTTGGCAGGTAGATGGAACAAAGAACAGCAAAGCAGTATGCAGCAGGAGGGAAAAGCAATGCAAGAGGACTCCCAAGCAGAAGGTGGCAGAACGCAAAGGTTTTTAAAATGGCTGAAGGCTCAACAGTCAAATGCATTTTCAAGATGTATTCAGGGGCTTTGTTTGCAACTTATGATTTACATATATTGTCTCAAAAATAGCAACAGTAATCACTAATTTTCTAAAAAATGAGACAGCTTCCAACAGATTTCACTTTAAACAGGGAGCAGATAGCCAGTTTACTTGACCTGTGTCAGTAATAGTTAAAAAGAATTGTGACTGGTATCTCCTTGCTTCTTGAGTGCTGTTAAAAGGACAAACACAGATTGTTATTAAAGCTTATTCATAAACTTTCTCATCTCCCATCCCTTGTCAGATACTTTGGAGGTGTGTAGTAGGAGCAGATTTGCTTGCTATACTGCTGCACTGAAGTCTACACTTGAAGTAATCTGTTCTACTCCAGCCAGCAGACTTCTGCAGAAAACATGCATGGCACTGTTGGCTTCAAAATATATTTCAAAATTTAATATCTGAAAATTGCTGAGCTGTGCAAGATTTGAACCTGTATGTCAAGCATACTTAACATTTTTTAAAACACTTTTCTCTGCAACTAAAGCAATTAAAATTAATTCTTACTGTCTTGTTTTCTCAATTATGTAGACTCTAAGCAATATTTGTGCCAGAACCTACTAGAACTTAGCTAAAAATTCTATTTTTGTAGGCAGGAAAGATCTAGTCACGTGCCCCTCCTCCCCTTCCCATTATCTTACAATTGACACTTCCTGTGCTGTCCCTGGATGAACACAAAACAAGTCTCGTGCAAAATGTGCCGACACATCTGCCGTAAGGCAAGAAATCCATACAACCCATGAATCAGGGATAACACACCCACACAACTGAACCTGGAAAAAGCATTCACTGAAGCACTGGGCTGGATGAAGCACACAGACCTTAACCCCCTCCCATACACCTCTTTCCAGCAGACACTGAACTTCATTAAAGCACTGCTGCCTTCTACTGCACATTTACCTTACACACTTCACCACGGGAATTACAGAGTAAACAAATACAGTAAGTGTGCAAAAAATGGAGTTTGAAAAGTGCTTGTAACTGAACTGAGACTTTTCACACTAGCTTTATTAGCAGGAAGACACAATTTTTCTTCTCAATTACGCTAACTATGCAAGAACTGTAAGATGTGAGGATTCCTATCTGTAGGAAAAATTTCTGCTAGAAATACAAAATTACCAATACAAATAAATTATTAAAATGCTCCCTTATATTCACATCAGCCTTTGTAGGTTGCACCACTCTTGTATAGTGATGCCACTGCTGGTAGTCATTGCAGTGTCACATGCAAATGGGAGCAAAGGAAGCTGCAAGTGACAAAGCGACAAGAAATCCACTTTCAGTGTTCAGCTGGATAACTCACCAGGAGCACATTTTGATTTGCAGGTCATCCATAATAAGTCATTCTCTTCTACACAGGTCAATACAATTTCCCATGGAGAACTTTCAAGTGTTTACAAATACTTTCATAAAAGAGCAAAAGCAGATTTTTTTTTATCAGACAGGAAACAAAGGTTCTTTAAAACTGTTTAATTACATGTTTCAGGTAAGCACAGACAATACAGGTAGATTTCCCACCACTCAATATTTACATTCTTTTCTCTAGGCTTGAACTGTTCATTAAGAGTGTTTTTCAATCAACATCCTAATCAATCACTTTTGCTGCAAAGAAGGGTGCTGGAAAATAACTATTGCAGGAACCATCCCATCAAGGCATGATATTCTGTGGCGCTTTTCTTCTTTAAGAACTACTTACTAGTAGTTCAAGATATTTTGAGAAAATCCTGGCTTCCAAGATGACCTGAAGAATGGATTGAAACCAAGCAGTGTGTTGAAGTCCTATAAATAGTTAAAATCAATACTAATACGTATGTTGTGGAGCTGAAATTCTCTTTCCACTGGCACTGCCATTGCTGCATGGCTTCTGTTAGGACAGTTTTACACCAATTTTGTTTTGTTCCTTTTTCATTAGCCTTTGTGCCTCTTTCTCCATTTTCTTTCGTTGCTGTTCTGCTGCTCTTTTTTCCCTCTCTGCTATCTTCTGTTGTCTGTAATTAAAGAAAACATGAACTGATAAAAAACACACACACAATTTTCAGCATGGTCATACCTTAAACTCCTGTCAATACATAGGTTATTACAATATATAGGTTATTAAAACCAGAGCTCCAGTTTATTGCCATTAGGCTTAGAACAGTCCTTTTTCTGTGCTGAAGTAAATTTTCAGATTAAACTAGAACTGTAGAATATTCTGAGTTTGAACCCACAAGGATCATCAAAGTCCAACTCCTGGCCTGCACAAGACCACCCCCATGAATCACACCATCTGACTGACAGTGTTGTTCAAACAGTTCTGGCAGGCTCAGTGCTTTGACCACTTCCCTGGTGAGCTGGTTCCAGTAATCACACTCTAGGTGAAGAACCTTTTCATAACATCCAACCCAATCCAATCTAGTTTTAGGCATTAATATGTGTTAAATTATTCTGCAAGTTAAAAGCCACTAGCTTCTCAAAGATTCAGAGTAAGTGAATCAGTGAGAGAATAGGACAGTGGAAAGCCTAGAGCAAAAACTAAAAAGCTATCTAATACTTTCAGCAGCAGCTCAAAATTTTGAGGTTTTGCTGGTTTTTTTTTGGTTTTTTTTTTTTTTTGAGATTGTCACCTATTATTGTACATTTCTACCCGACAGCTGACAGAGCTGTCAATCTAGCAATACGCAGGAGTAATAATATTTGCCACATTACAGTGGCAGATTTTTATATTTCCCATATATCTGAACTGATGCAGAAGTGCTATGCACACCAACCAATATAGAGACAGTAAAGTTCCAGAAATCCACATGGTGTTAATGCTGCTGTTCACGTGCAGTTCTGAAGGGAGGGATCGTGGCAGCTCCTGTTTCTTCCCCCAGGATGGCCCGCAGGACACGGAGCTCCTGCACACAGCAGCGGCTCTGCGCCCTCTACAGTCTGGCATCCTGCACTCAGCTCTGCCCAGAGAGACCCTCACCTGCCTCAGACACAGCAACTGGCCGACAAAAATACAAGTAGCTGCTATAAACTACAACTGTGTGAGCTTAACTGCTTCCACTGGCATAAAAAACTTCATTGGTATTATAAAATCTGGAGTTGTAGACAGGTATCTAAAATTTGCAGAAGAAACTAAGTTCCAATTAACTCAAGTTAACTGAAAATGCAGTTTAGAATCCACTACATCAATTCATTACTGACTGGAAAATTTTAGTGCACCCCAGCCCAGAACCTGCTGGAAAATGGGGAAAAAAGAGACTATAGAAACTTCTCAGGCTCTGATAGCCTACTCTTGATCACTGTCTTTCTTCATGTCTTAATTCCAGGGAGCATATACTGACCTACTATATGTGCTCATTTCAATTGTTATGCTTATACATAAACCCACCAGAGAAGCCACAGGACAGAGTGAGCCTTCACTGCCAGTTAGCAGGACACAGCCCACTTCTGCATAACTGATCTGCTCTCCATCGCTACACAAAAATTATTCTGGTCTTACCGAGCACCCACAGGTACCAGACACAGCAGACTAGGGAAGACCCTTGCTCTTTCTGCACACTCATTTCATTCTCAAAAAGCACCACTGGAGTATAGTCAGCATTAACACTCTGAACATTAGGGGGACTCTGTCCTCTATTTGGCAGTCTGAAATATTATAAATATTATACAGGCTTCTTCCAAGTGTTACACTTATGCATTAAGTCACCAGAGTGGCCACAGGATCTTCAAATCATTTTGCAGAACAAGATGCAGACATCTGTCATCAAAAAGAGACTCCAAAGCACTTCATTACTACACTCTGTTGAAAACAGAGCCAGGCCTGTGCAGTACTGTACTTAAATTTTATGTTAAATGTCAGATGTTAAAGACAGCAGTGATGTCTACTGCAAGAGAAACTAAATCCAGTCAGGATTTTTTATCAATCTTGCTAAAAATCAGCCAGGACTCGACTCATTTACAGATAAACATTGTTATTTCTGTGTCATGAATAAAACAAAGATTTTACTTCACCCAGCTGGGATACAGCTTACATAATGACCAGCTGTATTGAGGTAGCCAGCCATAGCTGGACAAGTGGTAAGCCACAGACAGCTGGAGTTCTAATCATGTTTTATCTGCTGGAAATATTTAGACACACATCCCTTCTATAACAACTGCAGTTTGATACTTTTTAGTGAGGCCAAAAAGAAATCCTGTGAGAAGTAACCATTTGAGTTGAACCCTTTCAACAATAAAGGTGGTAAGTTGAAATCTTTAAGATAGGTTCAACCAAATATCATGACACTTTGAAAAATTAAAGTTTTTGAGAAACCTCACTGCTATCACCATGTAAGAGATCTCTCTTCCTAAGTATTCTAGAGCATGAACCTGACATTTGGCAAACAATATAACTTTGACCATCCTGGAAATTTTGCACTCCAAAAGTAAACTGGTATACACATACACTAGGTAATTTTTAGTAGTTAATTCATATACGACAAACCCCTGCTTCAGAAAGTCTGAATACTACTTTTGATAGTCCTAAGACCATCTGTAATGGAATGTGGCAAGGGTTAAGTAAATACAATGCAGCCTCTGCAGTAGCAAAAACAGGTGTTTCATTTCTCCATAAAAAAACAAACAAACATTTCATTGTCCTTCATTTAAGTCTCAGCAGACTACAATCTAGCTATTAAAGATCTTAATGAGTCTATTGATATTCTTTACAGGAAAAAGTACTATCCATGGAACAAAAGCAGCCCAAAAGCACATCTTTCATATCACAAAGCTTGTACTTCAGTACAAGACCTGAAATAGTAATGAAGTTTAAAAAAAGACAAGCAAGCTATTGACCAGAATGTACACATAGATAACAGATAAAGTTTACAAAAATATTTGCATTACAACCCTATTCTCACATGTTAAGCTGCTGCAAAGCAAGACTGACAGAGATAATAAATTGAATAAATTCTAATTATGATTAGCACATTGAAAATGAGCTAGTAACTTCCCTCTTGTCTTATTCCACAGATTGAAAATGTAAATTTTTCAAAACATTAAAATAAATACTTGATCAGATTCCTCTTTTCTTTTCCTCACAATACCTATTTTCCTTAGAATGATTTTTGACTATATCACACCTTTATTTCATATTATCATTAATGGACCATGAAAGCCATGCACTTCTGATTTAGTGAGTAGAATTACGACAGCCCAGGAAGCTAAAGCTATCTGAGGCTGGTTACCTGATGATGTACCAAGCAATAAAGTTTGATACAACTGCAAATCACTACCAGTTCAAATCATTGTGTATGATAAACTTCATTTGCATCTCTTTACCCTCCACACCCCTTAAAGGAAAGGAAAAAAGAACACAAACTGAACGGCTGAAGTATTCACATTAACTTGTGCAAGACTTTGATTTTACATTCAGCCTTATCAGCTAGTTTAGTTAAGTTAGAAAAGCCTAGCTCCTACAGGGATTCCAAGCACATACTTTTCACTTCACCTTCTATCCAGAACTATTTTTACCTTAAACACATGGTTGTGATACTTTTCATGAGGACATCAAGTGGTATTTTACTTAATGAAGTAATGTGATCTGAACATAATAAATCGTTGGGATTGGCGCAGCACCGTTTTTTTAGCACCTGCATGCACGTGTTAATATGTTGTTCCAATGTTTCAGTCATTTTCAGATTTCCTCTAATATCTCATTTATTAAATTAATTAGATCCAAAATGTCTTCTGGTGAGTACCACTTACACAGAGATTAGATGCATAAAAATAATTTGTCTTAAGAGGCATTTAACAATTCTTGGCACTTACCAGAAAGATGTCAAATAAACAAATGTAATTCTTTTACATGTAAAACCTTTATACAGTACTTACCAGAAAGATGTCAAATAAACAAATGTAATTCTTTTACATGTAAAACCTTTATACAGTACTATATTAATTTCAATTACCTAAGAACTTCTTCTGCCTGCCAAGCAGCGTCTTCCTCTTCTTCCCAGGCATTTGTATTTTCTTGCCAAGTATCCAAGTCTCCCAATTCAGGCTGAAACAAAAGAGAAGTTCTAAGCACATGGAAAAATTAGATAAAACACTCATTTGTGACTGACAGTGGCTCCTGATGACAGCAAAGTTTCCTTAGGATTTATTTTTAATCTTAATTCTTCAGACTTACAGAAATATTTGAGGTATGGCAGTGCTTCTCATCTTATTGTCCATGTTTCTTTTCCTGATGTAATACTGAGTTTTTTCAGTTGTCAAAGGGTTTTTTGACCAAAGACAGGAAAGAAGTAGTGGAGGGCATTTTTAGCAAGAGGAAGACAGATTGAGCAGATTATATGAATAGATAGTGTAAAGAGATTTCTGGAAGTTGCATGGACAAACCAACACATACATCCACATTTTTATGTTCAGTATCAGTTCAGTGACACTTTTACTGACTAAAAGTCCTTTCCTGAACTATTTTCATAAAGGACAGTGCAGGGAGGCGGTATGACCATTCTGTACTGCTTCCTGCCTGTACCCTTTTGTGCAAAATATTTATCAAAAGAGAAACACTGTTAAAAAAGGCTAAGGGCAAGGGAGGGAGAGTATCTCCTGCTAACTGGCCAGGCTGTTAGGCAACTAGACAATTTTTTCAAAGGCTAAGGAGCAAAAATTAGGAGACTGCCACATTACAATCCTTACAAAAAGGAAGGGAAAAGCAGGCTAAAAACGGATTCAAAACAATAAAGCAAAGGTAACTTATAAGCTTTCAAAAAAGACTTCTACTCTTTTATTAGTAACTTACAGTGTAAAATCCAAAATTATAGTTCATTGCTTTAGCAGATTTGCAAGCCCATAAGTATATGGAAACTTCCTACCTTTTTATCACTGATCTATCAAGTTTCTCAGCAGAACATATTGGACTACTTCATTCTTCATTCAATTTTAAAACAATTTACATTACTCCCCTACTATTCCAATTACTCCCCACATTGCACACCTTAGGCAGACTATTCCTTCCACTAGAGAACATAATTTAACTGACAAATAAAAGATCAATACTTAAAGCATACTTACAGATTGGTGAAGAAAAGGAATATCTTGTGTGGCTGCTAATCTGCTAGAGAATCCTGTGTTTCCCTCTGGAATCCCAAAATTTAAAGGCTCTCGTTTTTTAATAATTATCTGAAAATATTAAAAAAAAGAAACAAAAAAGTGGTAGATCAAAGCACTGCAGGGATTCCTTGGTGATCATATAAGTCTGTGCCTGTGAAGGTTCAGCTACACAACACCTCACTGTACCTTAAACCTGGCCAGGTTCTGAAAGCTGCACAGCCAAATGAACTTGTAAGTGAAAGATAAATGCAAAAGATAAGAACTCCGCCTCCCCTCACTAGATTTTTCTTTAGCCACATAGAAACCTGTGACTGTATCAAGACAGAGAATGGGCACAAAGAATAACAGATCAAACAGACACATCTCTCAATACGCACAGAAGCTACCAATTATGTGATATATTGCTTGGGGAAATCCTGCTTCTGTGGCAGGTCACTTTGAGGTACTTCCTTTGAGTGCTGTCTGCACAGTTGTACTGCACTGTAATGTCAGCTCTCTCAACTACTCCAACAGCGTTTCTGTGCAGTTGCAATAGCTGCAAATTCTCTGTCAACAAAAACTAGTAAAGCTCTGTACTGGTTTGGCTGAAAAGCAGTGCTTTTCCCAAAACAGGTGCTAAGATCACATATCATTTTCACTTGTCTTGACCTCAAGACACAAACTTTGTTTAGCCTACTTTGAGCTTCTTCTGCTTCCCAATGAGGCAGATCCACAGTTCCACTACCTATATGCTTGTACCAATCCAAGAAAAGATACAGGACTAGACAATCTTATTGAGCAATGACAGACTTATTTGACTGAGGTTCTATTTCCAAACAGATGAGTATAGATGAGTGACAACACGAGTAGACTGTACCTCAAATCTAAGGGTTTATATTGAGACATTCAGTGGAAATAAACACAAATTCACACTGAATGGTATTAACTTGACCAAGTTAACAGGGATGTTCTTTGCAATGCTTGCAGTCATCCCTAGAGATATATTAAAACTAAACCCAGTGTACAGTACTCAAACAGCATGGACTCTTCCCCAGTTTTGTTCTGAACCTGAAGCTCATTCTATGAGGAAAAAAATGTCAGTAGATATAAAGGAGAAATCTACTGCACATCCTCTCTGATAACCTATTACAGTACTTGTGAAGTTTTTCCCATTGACTCAAAGACATATAAGTACCCAGCTGAAAGATTTGCACATAGAAGCAAAACCTGCAATCACCAGATTTTAGTCAGCATTTATTTACAACCTTGATGCTACTGTAGAGATGCCCTCCTATCTTGTCTCCATAGTAAAAATGGATATTTGAAGAACAAGCTATTTTGAAATATCAGTTCCCTAATTCCAGCCTCCCCAATATAACTTGGTGAAACAAATAACCAGTGCTCTGAAACAGCAGGGCTGCTCCCTCAGACTTCAACAGAGCAAGACATTTAATGTCGTTGCTCAAATAAGGATATGAGTACAAATGACTAAAGGGTTCTCACATTATACTTCCAAGAACTCTTAGAGTATGAAACTATTCATAAGTTTCAAATATTATGAAAACTAAAGATGCAAACATGTGATAGCCTCACAACTGTTAAGATCTCAAAGGTCTTAACATTAAACATGATAAATTACACACCAGCATCTATTCTCATTTACCAATAGCACCTTCTGTAAGTTGCCAAATTACTTGCTTTTATTTTAAAGCAATAAAAACCCTCCATAAGTATAGCTGAAAATGTAATACTTACTTTTTGAGTTTTTCTTATAGTTGGTGCCATATCTTTGAAATAATCAGGCTCCATTTGTTCCAAAGAATTTTGCTGAGCAGCCACATTACCATTGCCACCTTCAATCTTCACACTTGTAGGTGCATCTTCATCCCATGAAGACCAGTCTTCTACTTCAGGCTGAATATAAGAATATGGTACAAGTTAGTATTATCTGCAAGTAAAAACTTATCTTTTGATATCTTGCTAAGATATATACTTAATACTGAATCACATATTATTATATCTTTCGTATATATCACATTATATTATATCTTTCTTGGATATATACCAATTCAATATTGTAGGACTTCTTTAATCACCTTGTTAAGGGATTAAGTCAGCTACCACTTTAACAATTACCTGCTTAGGAACAGATGAATAATCCACTGTGGTTGGCAAAGTTATTTGGTCTCCACTTAACTTTCGCCCTCTTCCAGACCTGAAAAAAAAATGTAGGATTCCTCCAAGCTCTGAAAACATGAGCACTAAGTTTAAAAAAAAAAACAAAAAAGGAAGTCTGAGAACAGCACTACTAAAAATAGTCATGGCTAAAACATTTAGTGCTTAGCAGTAAGTCTGCTAAGCAAAGGGATTTCATCATGAATTGAAAGTTGTGTTCACAAGAATATCAAAGTGCAATTTACTTTTCTAATTACAGTGAAATAGAGGAGAAATACTTATAAGATATATGAAAATGGACTAAATCATCTGCATAATTCAGTCACAATTTTTAGACTGTCAGTGCTTATGAAGCAAGCACTAGGGATCTATATTTGCCAAAGAACCATTTTACTATAAAATGAGAACATTTTCTATTTGCCTTAAATTTTATGCTATATCTAACAAATAGCTTTCTGAGCTGCTTGATCTGAAAGCCCCTCTAAAGCTTTTTTCTTCAAAGTCTAAACAGAGGTAATGCAAGATTACGCAAATCAACAGCTTTAATTCAATCCATGCTTCTACTTAAAGAATACTGTTTCAATGCATTTCAGCAACTATATAAAAGAATTTTAATTGAAAACAACACTAATGCATTGCAAATAAACTACCTAGATATTTACTTCATTACAATGCTCAAAGATCAGAATAATAATTAAAGTATTCCTAGCTAACATCCACTGTATTTTGACACCTTAAAACACAAAATAATGCAATTCAGGCTCACACTTGTGTTTTCCACAAAGAATGTAAGCTCCTACAGCAAAGCAGTCATGTAACTGACCTTATGTAGCTTGCAAAATATAATGTTTTTTTCTTACTACTGATGTGAATAAACTGGGAAATTTCTATTTCTAGTTTTTATCCATTAGTTCTAGTATTAGAGAACATACTACCAACTGACAAGCTAAACTGCTTGTAATAGCACCTCTACTGTATGCTGGTGAGCGACTAGATATATCTTTTCTACTCAAGACCAAACAAACAAGGTCAGGTGCTAACATCAAATTTTCAAGTTTTATATAAGTAACTCTACTCCCTTTATAAACAGTTCCTTTAAGTTGAAAAGAAACAGATTTTAGGGGTAAAAAAAAGGTGAAAACACTGTGTCCTCAAACACATTAGACTTTTGGTTTGATGAGATTTACTTGACATCTCTAAAGGAAACCCAAGCTTAGAAATATCCTCCTTCAGACCTCTACAACATACACACCCTTAATACTGCTTACATTTAATACTAATCTTTAATACTAATTTAATACTAATCTTTAATGCATCACTTCTGCAATGACTTGCTCCACAAGACAAACAAGTAGCTTGTAACAAACATTAATCAAGTCAAAATGGTTACAGCAAGAGGGCTGAAGGTAGAAGGAAAGAGCTTTTGTCACACAACATCAGAAAAGAGGTGGTACACAGAGCAGCACCAAGGAAGGCTACAGATCTCGACTTCCTTTAGGAAGGGAACAAGATGCTCACAGGAACAGCTGCTCCACAGCCATCATTAGATACTGATCACTGCTCTGCATGCCAAATGCCTCAAGAATTATTGGATTTGTTTCACCTTACTAATAAGCAGCATCCAGATTTCCCAGCTGGAGATAATTAGAGATTTTAAATGGAAGGAAGTTTCATCTTTTTATATTCACATGTTTTATTCCCTGAAAACTGGATTCAGGCAGTCTGTTGTTTATCAAGAGAAGATTTAACTAAAAAAGGACTAGTAGTGTATGTAAGCTCTATGGTGCCTAGAAAGTTGCACAATCTCTATAGGCACTTGTTCAAATGAAACCTAACGTAAACTATGTTATCTATGTAAGTACTAGCTCATGTCCATTGAATTAAAATGCACGTTTAATTAAATCACATTTGCTGATTATTAGGAATAACTATATAGAGGGGTGCATCACAGGAAAACAGAAGTTATCAAACTACACTTTGCAGATGACAGTGAACAAAAGAAACATCTGTAGCTAGTGGTCTGAATTAATGTGATCCAGTGACTTGCTTATGTGAAAGACTTAATTTTCATTTCTTTGACTAATTTTTAGTAAACAAATATAGGGTTTTCTACTTTAAGTACTATGAAGCAGTTTCTCAGCTGTTCAAGATCATAGGTCTTTCAGAAGTTGGAAAAAAGAATGAAAATACTGTCATTACACCCAGAAAACAATTATCTGCTTATAAAAAGTATCTTTACACTTAAGTGAAGGATCCACCTAATATAGAAGTTATGATCAACTCAGTGTTTTGACTTCTTTCAGAACTTGAACAGCAAGTACTCTCAATTCTCGAATCACAGAACTAAGGTTGACATCTATATAACTGTATGCAGTGTTAAAATTTATCTTTTTAATGCTTCACTAAATCTGTAAGTGAATTTACCAACAAGTCAAGAGCTTCCTCTTATTCTTGGAATAAATAAAGGTGAAGAGGAAATAAACAGTTATTTTGTGTCTACTATATATTCTGCATATACTTTAATCCTCACTGGGAAAGTAGTTATCATACAAAAAAAAGAGAATACATTTCTCTAGATTGGTAGTTGTTTATGTAAACAACATGCTGCAGAAGTGGTAGGAAGCACAGAATTTCATTCGACAGCACAGTGCCAAGAATTGCCTCAGGTACTCTACTACTGTATTATTGAACTCTACTACTCCACATTAGCTCTTGAGGGTTTTTAGACTGCTTCTAAGTACTATACTACAACATTAATGAGCCTACAACTCAAAAGGACACCAGATATGACTTAAAAGAGTGTAAAAAATAAAACATTCTTCATCATTAAAAAGGAAAAAAAAGCCATTCCCTTAAACTTAACCACTAGCCTCCAAACTTCTGAAAGAATCTTCAATAGGTAGAAGAATCTGAAGTCTCAGGCAATTCTTTTTTGACAAACAGGATGAGAATTGCCTACATTTGTAATGACAGCCTACTGAATGATGACAGAGTAGATGCTACCATTAACTGAATCTCTTAAAACACAAAATATCACTTGATAAGTACTTTTCAGAACTGTGCAGCACAGCTCTTCTTCAAGTTTGACACAGAACAGTTTTAAAAGCCATTTTAAAACCCTCTCATAGATATTTCAAAAACCTCATTCAGCTACCATACAACAAAATACACTCACAAATACACTACACAGACTTTTGGAACTCTGAACAAATACACAAATTAAAGAATTCACTTGATTTTGTTTTCATCTGTTTTGATTGTTTTGCAATTAGTAAAATCAGAACTGGCAAAAGTGGTGGCTGGGTGCTGGGGGAAGGGCAGAAGTGCAAGAACCTGTAATTGCAAAATTGAAAAAGAAAAGGTAACCAAATTAAGTAAGACTTGTTTACCTGCATATTAACTTTTTAATGAAAGAAAACACTGCTGCCAGGCAAGTACAGAATTTAAAGAGTCGAAACTGTGTTATGGCCATGGTAAGAAACCCTTCCTGCAAAAGAAAAAAGTTAGATGCAGAGGATTATACAACTTTATACAGTACTTAAAGCCAATTACTTTAATTGCTACTAAGCTAGGAGCATTCCGTGAAACAGTATTAATGCAAGGAAGAGAGCAGGTACCTGGAGCAAAGATGCTACCTGCCTACTATCAGGGTATTTCACTGATGCAAATAATACAAGTATCTAATATATATAGCCTTTAAAGAAACAGCACAAAATCACAGGTAAAATCAAAGTTAAAGACACTCTTAAAGGGGAAGTGTAGGCAACCATCTGCAGTGCCTGTGCAGCCGATCCGTTTCAGACACTACCAGTGGCATTGAACACTGGCAGTGCAGAACAGAATAATAATCAGAGAAAAGCTCTTGCTTGCTTGAGCATATCATGCATATACAAATTACAGATTTAGTCATTAAGTGAAATCCCAAAATTAGCTGCTTAAATTTACCTTCCATTTTGATGGAAATGTGTGATGAGAACACTGCTTATTTTAGAACTAATCTCACTGAAAAATCATAATTAAAGGGAGAGTGTTCATCCTGTGTGAACTACTGCACCAGCTAACCCACAGAGCTACTGACATTTCTATGCCTGACTGGATCATGACAGCAAACACAGAAAAGAAAAAATTCATCTTTGGCTGAGGCCACTCCTGTTTGTAGCTATTTTTTCAGTGACAATCTGATAATCTAGAGAATTTATGTTCATCATATCACATCATTCCAACGTACCACCTTGATTAGCTACAGACTGACTCAGAAAAATCTGCTGGAATCCCTTTTCTCTTCTATAGGTGAACATTTCAGAGTTAAGAATAAGAGGTTAGGCTTCACAAGTAGCTTTTAATTATAAACATCTAGACTTGTAACAACATTTTCTGTTGCAAGTTTAACATACCTTCTGGTGAGAAGAGAAGGCAGCCCTGTGACATTTTCCTCAGGCCATGAGTATTCCATGGAAGGACAGCTTGATTTCAAATATGCTATGGCATTTAAATCACTTTTTATATTCCAGGCTTTAATTAGGAAGAGTCAGGAAGGTGGATGGTAGGTAGGCTGCTCCAACACTGTCCTGAGGATTTTATTAAAAAGGTACACAATGGGATTTGTGAGCTTCATGGAGCATAGATGTATTTTTATTGGTGCTCATTTGCTAGATAATGTAACCATTATTAAACACTATATTAATATAGTACCGGAAATATTGCTTTACATGTAGTGCAGGACAGGACTTTCTGCTACTGAAAAATCATACAGAAGCTATTAAACAAACAGGTCCTTTAACTGCAAAATGGAAGGCTTAAGTTAGTAGTAAACACCAAATTACAGACTACACTACCGAGCTGTAGCTCAGAAAAAAGGCTTCATAGGACACGTATCACCTCTACCTCAACATTTGTGTTATCTTATTTCATTTCATGGGCGACTTAAAAATGTAGAGAACTTTATACAGGGTTGGATTTGGCTCTTCATCTAACAGAATTAGAAAGCAGTCAGTTCCCACAAAGAAGCAAAAACAGATATGGTCTGACATATTTAGCTTTTAGTTTAAAAGACTGGACCATCATTTCATATTATGCTCAAGCACTTCCTTACCTTTCAGAATAAGCAATGCTGACAATATCTAGATGACAGAAGAATCCATCAGTCAAGAATTTAAATGATTAGGAAATAATCCAAGTTAGTGGAAGAAGAGTGAACAGTGCTAAGAGGGAAAGTTCTCTATCCTAAAGGTAGAAATTATGGCAAAGTAACACTGAATTGATGAAAGAAAATCTTATTTTTAAGAGAGGCAGCTAGAAGTTATCTGCCTGGGATGTGAGGCATGAAGAGCATGTGACCTGCTGAAATGATTATAAAGGTACATCTTTTCTGAAAAGCTTGTTTAAAAGTTCACTCCACTCTACCAGAATTCACTCTTTTATCAGCTTGGAGGGGAGGAGGGAAGGAGTAGAACAGTACTCAATATTAGCAAGACTTAAGCTCTTTTCCCTTGTTCAGGCTATCTAACTGCTACACTGGACAGTACACACAGACCCTAAATTTAAAAACTCCTAGCTACTGACTGAGAAGGTTGTTTTAGGAAGCCACCAAAAATCTTTGTAGACTATACATTAATTATGCCTAAAGCCAAGGAACTAGGAAGATTACTAAGTGCAAAACTAAAACCAGAACAATGTTCAAGTGTGTCAATCACCAATATATATATTTATATATGTAAATATAAATGAGCTCAGTTTTCAATTCATCCTCATTTTCTCAGTATACTGTACTGAGTTCTCAATAGAAAGTTAAACAATTGAAAAAAAAACATAATCCACAAGAACTCTGGCTTGCAGAGTCAGTGGACTTGTGAAGCCCACAAGAACTAATCACCAAAAGTTAATCAAATTCCCAGGTCATTCCCATGTAAGAGTGACTACACTTCCAGTATCATCAGTATGCCCATTTGGCAGAGTTCAACAGTTATCATTATGTCCATGACAGCCAGATAACTTACACCTCTCCACTTTCCATGTGTCAGGCAAAGATTTCAGAATCACAATGAGACATATGGCCAGTTAACATATTTGTGATAGAGCTGCATTTCATTTCAGCTGAGCTAGAACTAGGCCCTTCAAGAGCTGACTTGATGACCTTGGAGGTCTCTTCCAACCTTAGTGACTATGATTTAAGATAGTAAGTACTATTTTGCCCACCTCTTTTCTCAGCATTGATTGCAGTCTTCCCAGTAAAGCTCCCTACACTATAAAATGTCAAATGAACAACCAGTGTTTTGTCAACAACATTCTATTAGCCATAGTAGTGTTAACAATCATTTACCTTTAAAAAGAACTTTCCACAATGTACCTGCTTTTTATACTGCTATTTATGACATGAAGCAGTATATATGTATTTATATAATGAATATTATTTTTATAAATTAATTTAAAACACAATCTTGAACCAATTATTGTCTCAAGGTAAGGACAAGTCAAGCATTTTCTGCTTTGTCTGAAACAGCACTTGAAACATGTGCATTGCTGCTCTAAGAACAGCACTACCTGAAAAGTTAAACATTTGCTAAAGGTTTTGAGTTTTATTTGGTGTCTTTTGGGGTTGAGTTCTTTTGTGCTTGGGAGTTTTTTTTATGTTAATTACATTTGTCAAGGTACACAGAAACCTAATTTTCCTCAGTTCACTGCAAACTTAATTCACACAATACCATTATACTAAACTTGTGAAGTGAAACAAGTTTTACATCCTTTTCTTGTCCATCTTTCTCACACATTGGAAAGAAGCACAGCCATTTCTCTTTCTCCTGGGAAAAAAATATTGAACAGGCTAAATGGCAAACCACAACGTTCTTTCTTTTCTTAAGCCTTTCCTTGATAAACAATCCCAAAAGAAACCATAACTGTATCTGCAGTCACTTATAAGACAGGATGACAGAGACATAATGTAAAGTTGCAGCGCTACATCAAGAATCCTAAAACATTTCTTAACAGATAAGAGTTAAATGTGAAACACTGGACTAAAATTCAGAAAATCTGGTAAGAGCTGTCTGCCAGCCTGATACATCCTTCGGCATATCACACCTCAGCCTCAGCTTTCCCTTTATAAAATGGGATAGATTTCCTTCTCCCACTACCGGAATTGCTTTGTTACATTTATGAGACTTAGGGTCAAATGAACTTCCATTACAACAGATATAAACAAGCAAATAAATCAAGACATAAATCCTAATCAATTTAATACTTGTGGTCAACTAAACAATTCAGTAACAGACTCCAAATTTAGCTGGAGATTTTGACTTCTGCATCTCATACTGCCTTCCACTGGGAAAAAGGCACAACAGGTGTTCACATGGAACATGAGCCCAGAAAGGACTAAAAGACAACAGCCACAAGATGTTAAACACTTTAGAATCAAGTCAGAAGAATGAGGAAACGTAAACATTTTAGGGACCCATAAAGGAATCAGAAGGGAGGTAAATTTCAGAATTTTATTGAACATTTTTACTTTGCTTACAGCTTGGAACAGCAGCCTCATTAGAATTCCTGGCACCTCTGATTTCACTGACAGTAGCCAGCATAGTCCACCCTCAGGTGGATTGGTCAATCAGCTATGGTGCAATAAGCAAGATTCTCACTGTTCATCGTTGTACAATAAGCACACTGGCACCTGGAGAAACACTTCCTCTTTCATATCTAACCGTACACACAAATACCACTTAAGCAGGATTTCTACAGCTAGAGCCAATTCTAAAATAAAGTCAATTTGGGGCAGTAAAATTATTTTAGAAACTTGTTTCCTGCTAGTGAACTCATCTTTTACTGTCACATCAGCTTTCTTTCACATCAGCTCACATGTAACTCTGGAATGTAAACACAAACACACCTTGGAATCAGTGATTTCAGCCTACATTAAACACAGCTAGATAAATAACCAGATGATGGTACCTAAAATAACTTGTCTGAAACTGAAAGGCTCCCCTCCAATTTACATAAGAAGACACAAAAAAAGTTTCACCCTCCTAAAGCAAAACAAGAAATTAATTTCCTAGCACTAAAGACTAACATGGCCGTTACATTTGTCAGCACCAAAAATCCATACTGGTCCAGTAGTGCTTTTGGGCTGTCACTTGAACAGCTGACAATACCCAGTAAAGTTTCAGTGATAAGGACAGAATTTCTTAAAAGGGGATCTTGTATGAAGTTCCAGTAGAATGACCACATCAAAGATCGTAAGTAGGTTTATAGGGAGATGGAATTTTATTAAGATTAGTAGATAGAGATAAAAAACCTGTTTTAAAACACATAAACCCTCCTCCAAACCATGTATGTTACAAGACATACAAAGACACTTTGTATGTTAAAAAGACAAAGCAATGATTCAAGAAGGGCTTTCAATCTGGTACTGAAAGACAAAACCAGCACTTCCTGCATTTCAAAGACAACAACCATGATTCTGTAGCCTACTGAGAGGGTCCACTGCCCTATTCCTGCTTGATTTGCTTGGTCTCTTGGTTTTTTCATCACTTTACACAGAAACATAATATTTGGAACACATGTGTGGAGGGAAAAAATCCTGTCTTGATCACTGAGCTTGATAAATACATACATTAAGTGGCACCATGACTGAACCCTAAATCCACGCTATTACAGCATTAGGGAGAGAAGCAGAATGAAAAGAGAAAATCAGTAGGCATCTCCTCTATCTAATTGTAGGTAAGTGTTGTGGGATGTGTGTAAAAGTATTGTAGTTTCAGTACTGATCTTCCAACTTTCATTGCAAATACCCTAATTAGGCAATTGAAGTAGCTGGGACAGAAGACAGCTCACTCACATTAATCACAGACAGAGTGAAGTCATCAGAGGCACTCAAATCCAGAAAAAGACACTATCAAAAGCTGCAGAAGATACCAAAAGTCAAGGCAGAATGTCTGTCTCTCTAAATAAAGGCAGCAAAAATTGGTGACTGCTGGCAATTCCTGAGTTATTTCTAGACACTAAATACTCTGACATACAACATACAGAGTTTCAACTCTTTTTTTAAAGATGTTACTCCCAGACTCATACTCTGTAGTAATACCACCACATCTCACCCCTTCCTCTCCAAGAAACTAAATTTAGATACAAACTCACTAATGTGAACTCCTCAAGCTTTGTTTTGAATTAGAATAAATTCTGCTCTTCAAGGCAGTATTAGTTAAGACAGAAGGTCTATGTCCACTGAGTGATCAGTTACTCTTTGAGAATTCCTTACCTATATATGCCACTGTCTTGTGAAAAACAGCATACAGAACACCACTTGAAGTAATGCAATCGTGTGAGACCACACTATAACTTCATCCACCTTTACAACAAGTCTTTTACATGATGCACTAGTTCATGTAACTCACTTCACAAAACTGAAATTCTCATACATAGAACCAGAGTTTAAGGTAGCAAAGTTTTCTGTAATTACATGGAATGCCAGAGACAACAAATTAACACACATTCCTTGTTACTACTACAAAATCATCTTGCAATGCCTATCTTGACTAGAACCAGCTATTTACAAACAATGACAGCATAAGACGGCTTGAAGAAATCTCTGCAGTGCACACGTGCATTTCCACAGAGCTATAAAGCTACGAAGAGCTATAAAGCACCAAGCTACGCCATTCTTCATTAGATATGCAACTCAGGCGCTTACACTGTGAATTCATGACCAAAAAGCAGTACCCTACCATTTTACTGACCAGCCGAGTCTTGAATTTTATTAGAGACATCACTGAAGCCAAATAGAAGCACTTATTTTTTCTGTGAGCTGTTAGAGATTCTTAAGTATTTAAAAGCGTGCTAAGAAATTTTCACACGATGTATTACTAAACGTGCCCGTCAGCGCGAACAGTAGGTAACCCCAAGCCATGCCGTCGCACCGCGAGCTCTGACAGGACAGGCGCCCTCGCCCTTTCCACAGGAGCGAAGCCGCTCAGTCCCCAGACGCCGCCTATCCACCTGCTCGCCACCCCATGTCGTTCCAGCCCATCACCCATCGCCCCGGAAGGGCCCGGGCCGGGCGGAGGCCGCGGGCCTGGCGCTGTCGGGCCGGCCGAGCGGCTCCGCCGCGGGGCGAGCGCGGCGGGGCCGGGGACCCGGGCGGGGCGCGGGCGCTGCCGCGGGAGAACCGCGCGGGCGGCTCGGCCCCGGCAGGGAGGGCGCCGAGACCGGGCCCCTGCCCGGCACGGCGGAAGCGGCACCCGGCGGCGCAGAACCGACCCTTCCCGCTCACCTGCCCCGCGGGGGAGGCCGCGCCGGGAGTCGCGGGGCTCCAGGGGCCGAGGCGGCCGCTGCCGCAGCCTCCGGCCGCCCCTCATCCAGAGCCGGGCCCGCGCCGCTCCGCCGCCGCCCCGCGCGCCGCCATCTCGGCCCCGTCACCCGGGAGACGCCCGCCCCTTCCGGCCGCGCCGCCGCCCGTGCGCTCCGCTCCGCCCGCCCCGCTCGGCCCGGGGCAGGGGCGCAGCCGCGCCGAGCCGTGCCGAGCCGAGCCGAGCCGCGCCGCGCCGAGCCGAGCCGCGCCGGGCCGGGCCGGGCCGGGCCGCGCCGAGCCGCGCCGAGCCGAGCCGCGCCGGACCGGGCCGGGCCGCGCCGAGCCGCGCCGAGCCGCGCCGGGCCGCGCCGAGCCGCGCCGAGCCGCGCCGGGCCGAGCCGCGCCGGGCCGCGCCGGGCCGAGCCGCGCCGGGCCGAGCCGCGCCGGGCCGCGCCGAGCCGCGCCGAGCCGCGCCGGGCCGAGCCGCGCCGGGCCGCGCCGGGCCGCGCCGTGCCGGACCGCGCCGAGCCGCGCCGGGCCGCGCCGCGCCGAGCCGCGCCGGACCGGGCCGCTCGCGGCGCTCCCCGCCCGCGGGCTCCCCTCCCGCCCCAATGGCCGGGCCGTCTGAGCGGCTCTTCGGGCCTCCGGGGAGCTGCGAGGGAAAGGCGGTGGGCTTGAACCGTGCCGGGTTACTGCACACGTGGCAGTAAAGGTGTTCCTCTGTGGCCGATGGAATGCTGAGCTGTACATTTGGATGTGACTGAAAAACAAACATTGTTTGAAGTTGCTTGTGACAGGTGCTGCCCCAGTGTCCCGGTTTGTTCACCAACTTCATGTCCCTTTTAATGTCTGGTAAGAGATTTTAAGGTTAATGCTAAGGCATTCCAGAGCTCTGTGTAAACCCCCAGTTGTGCTACACTCGGTAGGTGAGGTAAAGGGGGTGTTTGTCTCTTTCTCCCATGGAAATCCGGTTAGTTCTAGAGCAGCACTAACACGGCATTCCGTCCAACTCGACTCTGTGGTCTTTAAATAGTTTCCAATAAAGACTTCGTGTTCTGCCACTGGATTTACTCAGCTGCTGTGTTCCCTGTGTGTATCAGGGCAGTGAGAAGATGGATGAAGAATGATGGCTCTTGTGAGGAGGTACTAGTATCAGATCGAGTTCCTTAATTTCTCTTTTCCCATGTCCTAACAGACATCGTGTTCCACAGCTCTTCATCAGGAAGCAGGCCCCAAAGGGACAAGGAGCCAAACATGATACAGCTGACCATAGGGCAAGTACCCTTCCAGCCAGGACACGAGCAGGGTGATCTGGGGGCAGCTCAGAGTCCAGACTACCAGGCAGGCTTCTGGTGATGAGGCAGATCTGAGGACAAGCCAGTGAGTCTGCACTGGTCCAAGATCAGTAGAGTCCATAGCAAGTCAGGGCATGGTTGTAGCCAAGCTTACGGGCAGCATTCCTATGATCTTGTTGAGGTGGGGATTGACACCCTTATGCCTGCAGAACCCACCTTCAATGAGAGAAATCCATATGCAGTGCTCATTTTAATTTCAAAACTTTAATTTCAAAATTTGCTACACAAATGGTTTCAGTATAACTTTCTGTCTAAAGCAGAAACTGGAATCTTCATCTGCGTTCACACAGAAAAGCAAAACTGCAAGTGTGACACACTGGGTAAGGTCAGGTTGTGGAGATACCCAGTTACATTTCTTTTGAGAACACATTCAGATTTTGGCATTGCAATCTATATATTCAGTAAGGAATATGCCACAGTGAGAAGGTAACATATGCATATAAACATATACACTTAATATAAAAACTGACAGAAAGGCTCACCTACACTATCCACCTAAATGCACAACCGACCTGTGTATGGCTGGTGCATTAATGAAAAAAGGCTGGAAATTGTCTGACCACTAATGGAAAATAAGTCTTCCCTAAAAACATAATTATGCAGTCTCAAAAATAGTAATAATATTAAAGTATCTTAATTTCTAAAAGCAGTGTTCACAGAGATAAGTACTTCATTGTTCAAAAATGTCATTAACCCCCAGCTCTAAAGTTTTAAACTTGGATTCCTTTGTCTCATTTAATTTTCCTAAAGAGAGCTCCTGTAATCTTGGGTATTTCATTGCCATATTGAATGCAGTACTGCTACAGTAAACTAATAAAGTTTGTTAGAGAACTATCTTTTACAGGTATTAAGACTTAAACATGTTAAATCTCATTATTTGACAATTTGCAAGTGTGCTAATGTCACTTCTTTTACATCTATGGCAATTTCAATCACTTCAACGTTTGATAGTTCCATTATCCTGATATATTAATGTCTACTTAATAAACTCATTCCATTTCTAAAAGTGATACAGTCTATTTTTCTATATGAATTATCCCTCCTATGGGATGTTTGCTTCATTTGTTTGTTTGCTCTCTCAAGTGGTTTATTAAAGCTACAATTTAGCTAAGATTTTCCTCAACTACACTCAGTTTTACATTTACAGAATAAATTAAACCTTCAATAAGTGTTCGATTCTGGTAAGAGTTTTCTAACCTCAGATTATAATTTTCTAACCACAGAAAAAAATGGCAGATTTTTATTGTTAATTTTAGAAGTAGTATTATACGCTGCTGCTAAAAATTTAATAATTAAAATGTCTTGAGACTTCAGATGAGAAGAGGCAGTTCCATTGTTCAATGCATTTTTCATTCCTTTGTAGTGTTGCTGAACACATATTTTGGGTAATATCTAAGTATTGTCCAATAATTTGCCTAAGTTTAGACAAATATGTATCCTAGCCAGTGTGAAAATATGACCCAAGTAAGTAGCCAAGTAGTCACAAAAGCCCATTTTATTCTCTAAAGGTCTTCCTGGCTGAAACTGTACTCTTCTGCCTCTGCTGGCATGTCTTAAATTCCTTCCCTTATTCCCACTCAGACTTGATATACCTTGTAGAGGAAAATTCCAGACCAGTGATCTTGGTTAGAGGCCTTTATAAGAAAATTCAACTGACTTTTAGCAAGCATATAATGTATAAAAATAATAATTGTAACTTTGAAATGGAGCACATTGCAAGCAGCTTTTTTTGGAAGCAGTGGCCAAAAGAGACCAAAGAGTAGCAGTGACTGCCTACGTCTCCCTGAGCTCAACCAGCTGTGTAGGTCTGGTCTTCTGCTGGACTGGGCAGTTTCATTGCACCACTGAGAATGTTTCAGGGTTCTCTCTCCTTTAAGCATCTCTCTCTGAGGCACTGATGTTCACACTGGAGCCTGGCCAGCTGACAGGACCTTTTACAGGCAGAATCCCCAGTCAGCCTAGAGGAATACCCACCCCAGGTTGAAACAGACTGGTTTTTTCAGTGTTGTAAGAACTCAGGCGATAAGGAATGTGTGATTTTTAGCCTAGTGCTGAGTAATTTCCTCAAGAGATTATCTTGGGTTCTCCTCTCTGCTGACAGCATCAGCTCCTACAGAAACATCTGCTAAGATGTTTCTGTATTTAATATGATGAGTTAATATGCAGCATAGATGGTAGGAGTGGTACCAAAATCCAGTTTTCTTTGTCCCTGCAATATTACTCCTATTTCTCAACTAAAAATTCAGGAGAGGATAATGGGACCTCTTTTTTTATACAGATAATTTATCACTTCATTACTGAACAGAAAATCTTCCTTCCATCATGTCATATGCAGCCATTAAGTAATCTTTCTTGACTTACACAGCCTGCCTTTTGTTCTTATAAGGAAAAAAATGCATTAAGCTGAAGTTTTCAGAAACTGCATCCAAAGCACCACGGTAGCATTTAAATTAAAATCCTCTAAATACTGGAGTATCTAGCATGTTGCTTTATAAAAATATTTATTTACATGGATGTGTTTGTGTGTGCATGCCTGCAAATGTATTATTTGCAAGAAAACAGGAGACAGGGCATAGCATGGAAACAAAACATTATGAAATTTTATTGGAAAAAGCATTTAGGAAAGCAAAGGATTTTCTTCCAAGAGCTGTTTTTGGTTATTGGTTGGTTGGTTGGTTGGTCGGTTGGTATTTGAAGTTGTTTGTTTCTTCGTATTTCAGCATTTGTTAGAGGAATTTCTACAAATTTAGAAAATTCAAGTTCCTTTAATTCATGCCCTTTGCAAGATCAAATGGTCTAATTTCAAGCAGGAATACTCTGGAGTCTGGAAAAGAACTTGATAGAAAAATATTCATAATGAGTCCTCACTCTTCCCATTTTAAAACAAATCAGTTCAGCAAAAAAGACCTATATTATAGCCCAAAAACTTCAACTTGCATCTGAACACCAGTGTGCCAAGACTAAGTGATGTTGGAAGTGTTGAGTTCCCAACATTTGTCTAAAAACAATGCCAACTTCAGACAAACATTACTGTCTCTGTAAAATTTGGACTGGGAAACTAGATCATTGTTTTGATGTAGGGGAAAAAACCAACAGCTCATTTTGAATATAACTGTGTAACCTCATGTACCAACAGTCTTAAGAAAAGAGCAATCAAAGAAGGGATATGAGGAAGTAAAATAAATACCTTTTTTCATTCATTATATGACTTCCTCATATGAGGAGAAGAGGATGGGCAGACTCTGACCACTTCTCTGTGATGTCCAGTGACAGGAGCTGAGGGAATGGCCTGAAGCTGTGTCAGGGGAGGTTTAGGCTGGATATCAGGAAAAGGTTCTTTACCCAGAGGGTGGTTGGGCACTGGAACAGGATCCTCAGGGAAGTGGTCACAGCACCACTGACAGAGTTCAAGAAGAATTTGGAGCATGCTCTCAGACACATGGTGTGATACTTGGGGATGGTCCTTTTCAGGGCTAGGATTTTGACTTGATGATCCTTGTGGATCCCTTCCAACTCAGCTTATTCTGTGATTATCAAGATTTCCTGTGCACTTTCTGATGGTGAGTAAGCATTTTAAGTTATATTTATCATTGCAGCAGTCAGTAGGCTGCAACCAGGCTTAGATCACACTCTTTTTGGTCTTTATTCAGCAAAAGAAGAACAGTCTTCTTCTGGCTATTGACTATTTCATGAAACTCCTCCTGCAAAATATGCATCAACAAATATTTTGAAATATAAGCTAAACAACTCAAAGATTAGCAAATTGAT